GACTCAACGCCAAAGGCGCACGGAACGCTGTTACCTTCCCACCAAAGGTGGTTTTTATTTTTCTACTTGCATTTTTACGTGCTTTCGAACTGCTAGATTGGCAGAAGCTGGGACAAGTAACGGGAGCTCACTCCGTTACGCAGCGCTAGGACTTGAACCGCCAAACTGCCGACCTTTCTGATCAACAAGCTCAGCATCTTAGCCACTGAGCCACCACATCCCTCTATTTCATAGGTACTAAGCCATAAATCACAAAGCATAGTAATCATTGGGTTTATATCCGAGACGGACTCAAAAATCAAATAAGCCACCTTATGGCTTAAGCACAATGTTCGAAAGTAAGCAAAAAACAAGAGGGCTTTGTCTTCCAGCTCCTGCCAGAGCTCGGGAGACATGAGAGTTCTTTTTCAAGAAGCCATTACGCTTTTTTCCAGGCAGTTTACTAAAAAAAAAGTATTATTTTTTGTAATTCTCTCCACTGCAAACAGAGGAATCCTCTTTGGCAAGGAAAAAACTTCAGAGACCACCCAACACCCCCAAAATCTCACTGCAAATCTTGCAGAAAAGCCACAGTTGGGTGGGAGCAAGCAAATGACTTGGCGGGCGAAGTCATTCAAGGGCAGTTTTGCCAGCGAGGTGAGAAGGATCTGCACTGCAGGACAGAGAGTGAATGCTCAAGACACAGGATGGGCGTCAGATGCAACTGGCTTCACACACACAGCTCAGATCTGCTTCAGAGGATGCTGTCTGGATAGTTTTCCCCACAGTGCAATATGGAAAGGTTCAACCTGACAACTTACGTTTGACTCCCCAAGGAGCCTTTCTATTACTCTGCCCTCAAATTCATATTCAGGCGTGCTGCTCCGATTACAGGTAAGCTTCGACTTACTACCACAAGCGGGTCCGACATCTCTGTCGTTAAGTGAGAGGCGGTTGCTGAGCTTTGCCCCATTTTATGACTTTTCTTGCTTATGGCTGTTAAGTGAATCACTGCAGTTGTTAATAAGACTGTGGCTAAGGGACTCTGGCTTTTCCATTGACTTTGTTTGTCAGAAGGTTGCAAAAGGGGAATCACATGACACACACACACCCCGGACATTGCAAACCGTCATAAATATGAACCAGTTGCCAAGTGTCCCAATTTTGATCACGTGACGACTGCAGAGGTCGTAAGTGTGAAAAGCGGTCGTAAGCCATTTTTTTCAGTACTGTTGTAACTTTGCATGGCCACTAAACGAATGGCGTTTAAGTTGAGGGCTACCCGTATTAAATGAATTGCAAGCACTCCTCGACTTACAACCACAATTGAACAAAGAATTTAAAGTGGATTTGCTAAGTGAGTAATTTGTTAAGTGAGTTTTGCCCCGTTTCACATCTTTTCTTGCCGCATTCGTTAAGCGAATCAACTGCAGTTGTTAAATTAGTAATACCGTTGTTAAGTGAATCTGGCTTCCCACTTTGCTTGTCAGAAGGTCGCAAAAGGGGATCATGTGACCCAGGACACCGCAACAGTCCTAAATGTGAATCAGTTGCCGAGCATCCGAATGCAAATTGCATGCCCATGGGGATGCTGCAATGGCCGTTAAGTGTGAAAAATGATCATAAGTTGCTTTTTTCGGTGCCGCTGTAACTTCAAACAGCCACTAAACGAACTGTTGTAAGTCGAGGGCTACCTGTACAGTTATAAAACAGTTATTTCGAGGCCATGAAAATAAACTTAGCAAAAATCTGCTTTGCCGTAACTGGCAATTTTGCCGTTAATGGTTGAAGTGTCTTAGTTTCCAGGGTGGCATTCTGGAGAACCTCCTTCTCACCTCCAAAGAATTGGTTTTGCTGTTGCCATCACCCAAATTGGGCACTCCAAAGGCTCAAGCCTTCCAGTTACACCATTCTAGGGGAGGTTTCTTCTCAGCTTCCTCTGCTGCGTTGTCCCCCAGTTCATCCAAAGAAGCCAACTCACGGCTTAATTAGGGGTGGGGGGGAAAACCAGCCCTATTCCTACTCAAAGCCTTATATGAAATCTTGCCCAAGTCCCTCAAGCAAGTTCCTCCTATCTGGGCCAACCGGATGAGACAGCAACACCTGAGTCGGCTTTGTTCCTACGAACCAAGCACATGGTAGCTCAGCCTTCAACCACAGGTGGGACCTGTGTGGAAGTGTCTAAAGATGGTGGTACATGCACAAATCACACAAAGCCAAGAAGGGTGCGGGGGGAGGGGGAAGGTGTGTGAGGAACACGTGCACACAGCAGTAAGCAGATTATCTACCTTCCTGTTTCACTGGAGTCGGCAGGACACAAAAGAGAAAGAGAATTCAGTATCAGAAGTCGGCAAGAGGCAGCACGGAGGACCTGCATGTATTATACCAATCCTAACGGTCTCCTTTAAAGCGGGACATTTACAGCCTCATTAAGGCAGAGTGATCCTGGGTTGATTGATTTTCCAGCCTCACGGTTGGGGTGGAAATATAGATTAAGGTAATGGGGTAAGTGCAGCAGGGCCAGAATGTAAACTTTTCTTGGGAGACCTCCTTAAACCGTTAACAGGAGTTCACACAGCCGCTCGTTCAGCTCCTGCTTTAAACAAGGGAGCAAAGCAACGAAAATCCCCTGAAGAAAGCACCTGGCCTCTTTCCAAATGCGAAGGGGAAGAGCACACAGGCGTGGCTTAAGAGCGGCACACTGCTCAAAACTTAACCTCCCTCCGTTCACCCTGCTTACCTTTTCCCCGTCTCGTCTGCCGTCCCCTTGCCTTGCTTCTCAATTACGATCTTGTCGTTCATGCCAAACTTACATTCGGGCATGCCGCTCAGGTAGCTCTTCATCACCACTCGTCCCGAGACATGAGCACTCAACACCTGGCCTGGAAGAAAGGAAAAGGCCAAGAAAGCATTGGGAGAGCAGAAAGAGTTGCACTTGAGATTCCAAAGACTTTCGAACGGTGAGAACAATTAACCAGTGGAACGGAAGTTGCCTTCAGAAGTTGTGGGCGCTTCATCACTGGGGTTTTTTAAAGGAGAGACTGGGAAAGTCACCTGTTGTCAGGTCCCAGAGATTCCTATAAGGACACTGTCACTTGTATGAGTCACGGTGGGGCGGTGGTTAGAGTGCAGCACTGCAGGCTACTTCTGCTGACTGCCAGCTGCCAGGAATTTGGCAGTTCAAATCTGGGTTGACTCAGCCTTCCAAACTTCCCCGAGGGGGGGGGGGGAATGAGGACGCAGATGGTTGGAGGCAATATGCTGATTCTGTAAACCGCTTAGAGAGGGCTGTAAAAGCACTATGAAGCAGTATATAAGTCTAAATACTATTGCTATGATTCTTGTCAAAATGATTATTTAAATCAACTTCTACAGGTAGTCCTTGACAATTCAGGGACCATTCGTAGTTACACTGTGGTGGCGCAATGGTTAGAGTGCAGTACTGCAGGCTATTTCTCATGACTGCCTGCAATTTGGCAGTTTGAATCCCACCAGGCTCAAGGTTGACTCAGCCTTCCATCTTTCTGAGGTGGGTAAAATGAGGACCCAGATTGTTGGGGGGCAAGAGGCGGTAAACCACTTAGAGAGGACTATAAAAGCACTGTGAAGCAGTATATTAAGTCTAAATGCTATTGCTATTCTGGGGGGAAGAGGGAAGCTTGGGGGGGGGGGAATCTCTGTATGGGGTTTCTGTTTCTATTCCTTGCCTTGCTGTAGCTTTTGGGACCTTGGGTGGGGGGAATGGAATGGACTTTATCTCAGCTCTGGAGAAGAGCATCAGCCTTGCCTTGAAGACAAAATGTTTATCACCCTCTCAGCCTGAGTTTCCCATAACATCTTCACACACCGGGATTGGCTCGATGAGGCACTGGACATTGGGAGGGGCTCTGTCTGCAATGTTTTAATCTAACGTTTCGAGCGGGAAAACTTAATTCCTGCCTAGATCTCTTGCTATCGCAATCTTCCAATAAATGAGACGGCTTTCGTTTCATGAGTTCTGCTTTCTTGAGAAGACTGGAGAGGCTCTGAAATGGTCTAGGGTTCTCCTGCTTGAGTGAGGGGGTTGGAATAGAAGACCTCCAAGGTCCCTTCCAGCTCTAGTCTGGTTGACTTGATTTTTTTTTCTCCCACCCCCATTTGAAGAAAGTTTACACTTACCTTGTGGTGACATTAGCAAGTTCACGCTCTCTAGAACATCCAGGAAGAGTTCATTGCGACGGTATTTGATCCCTTCGCGCCTCCAACCAATCTGGCCAGTTACCTGGCTGGTAATTTGAGACTGCTCTTCCTTAGTCTGGAGGAAGAGCAGGAGAAAGGAGATGTGCTTTCGTGGGCTCAGCCATACAGGATTCAGATTTCAGAGTTCCAAATGAACAAAGCCCCCCTCCCTTTCCTCCTCAATTCCTTTGGGATCAACCTGGAATAACTCAAATTAGGGATGCTGTTTAAATATTACCATTACATTATAAGAAGAACCTCTGCCTTTTCCCTCCTTTGGTTGCTCTTCCTCCCAGAAAAAAAATAAAATTATTTGTGCGCCAAACGGCCAGTTGACTACAAGAAGCCCAGTTGGAACCCTAGTTCAGTATCCAATACCCTTTGGAGGGATCTGCTGGATTACCTTTGGGGAAGGACAGCAGATTCTCCTACCTGGTGCTATAGGCAGGTCCAACCATTATGCGGAAAGCGAGAAAACAGATGAAGAGCAGCAGCAAGGGCAGCACACACAGGGTTAGGAGGAAGCAGGTCAGTAGAAGGGAAAGAGGAAGAGAGTAATGTTAGATTGGGGACATACTGAGGCCGCTATGAACATTACTCCTTTACGCTACACCTCCTCTGGAAGGAGAGGCTTCCTATGAGGAAAATGGGAACATAGGAAATGGGGAAAGCAACCTCAGAGGCACTACCACTACTCCAAGGCAGCAGCATCTACTCCAAGGCAGCAGCATCTTTGAAAACGACTCAACATCTCAGAAACCCAGGCAAGGCCACAAATGTTGAAGCATAGGCAGTCCTCAACTTACAACCGTTAATTTAGGGACCGTCCAAAGTTACAATGGCACTGAAAAAAGCGACAGGACCATTTTTTCCCCACACTTACGACCACTGTAGCATCCCTATGATCACGTGATTTACATTTGGATGCTTGTCAACTGGCTCATATTTATGACGGTTGCAGTGTCCTGGGATCACATCATCCCCTTTTATGACTTTTTGACAAAGTCAATGGGTTAATTGTGTTACCAATTTAACAACTGCAGTGATTTGCTTAACAAATGTGGCAAGAAAAGTTGTAACATGGGGCAAAGCTCACTTAAATTTCCCTTGTAGCAACAACATACATTCTGGGCTCAACTGTGGTCAAAACTCGAGGGCAACCTGTATAACAAGCTTCTGCCTCTTCCTTCAGGCATCTGTTTGGCAAATGGATGTTGGGGACCAGTCAGTTCACAGCATGGTGTTCACACATCAATTGAAACTATTAACCATGATGTATTTGTAGGCAGTCCCTCGGGAATAGGGCGGCATACAAGTCGAATAAAACCTTCAAACCTTCCCCTTCCCCTATGCCAGACTATACCTTCCAAATTATTGGAAGATAATCATGATTAAATCACTATTGAGTGGATTCACACAATATATCAAGCCAACCACATCCCCTGCCCATCAACGGAAACCCTGGAGAGAATGTAAGAGAAGATCCAATTGTCTCGTTCTTTTCTTATAGTTAACATAAGTGGCATGACGACTCTCCCCCCAGGGTATGTCATAAATTATAGAGATCATGCCTTTCTGGCTGTTGCAGGTAACCTGGGATACAGGCTTGAGAAAGGTGTGTGTGTAATGTGCTTCTGGTTGTGGCTGCTGTACTGTTCTGTCAGCCCCCCCCCCCCCCCCCCCCCCCCCCCCGGTCTATGGCAACTTGAAAGCAGGCCAGGGATGCTTTGCAAGTTAACAGGTATATCTTTTCTGAGCCTTTATACTAAAGCTAAGCCTGTTTTTCATGAGGCAGTATTTAACCTAACTAACATTACATATCTAGGTGTCCACTTCTCCCAGATTTCCGCATGGAGCTTGTACCAGTACAGTTCCTTTGTAATAATGCTGTAAGAGAGCCCTCTGCCTCTCAGTCCCACCTGAGGGTAGAACAAGAAGCAATGTAGGGCCAGTTTTAGCCCCCCAGACCCTCAAGAGAAGCCTCCTGAAGGTCCCTGAAGCCTCCGGAGGGCGTCCAGGTGAGGCTATTTTCGCCCTCCCCACACTCCTATAAAGCCTCTAGAGCCTGGGGAAGGCAAAAAAAGCACGGCAAAAATGGGGGGGGGGGAGCCCTGCTCGTGCGGCATGTGCCCTGGGGTTGTGCATATAGCATTATGGGTGTGGCACATCTGTGCACGACTCCTTTGCGCTCCCCCCACTTTTGGCACGCGAGCCACAAAAGGTTCACCATCACTGTCCTAGTCTAAAGCTAAACAATCATCTACTGTGGCTGTCTATCATATTAGTTCCTTTCGCATGTCTGTGCCGATTGGTGAAAATATCTTCCTTCATAGCTGTTCTCTAGGAGCTCAAGTCACAACTGAAGCTTGAAAACACACAGAACCTCTGCTTGTTCTCTGCAATAGATTTCTTTCAGGGCCTGCTAAGAAGACTCTACAGAAAGCAAACAGCTGGCTCAGTTTTCTGGCAATCATTCTATCCTCTTTGATACAAGGCCGAAGATATTGTTGTGAAAGCCCCATTTCCTGTTACTACAAAAAGCTGGGCCGGTGGCCAAAGGTTCCAATCTTGAGCCCAGAAGAAAAAGGACACTGTTTTTCTTGGTATACAATGTTTAAGTCCTTTAATCAATGTTTCTATTGTTATTAGTTCAGTATTTAAAAAAAGGTTTTGGTTTTTCACCCTTTAAGGTGAATCTTTGGATCTTAAACAACAGAATTAAAAGGGTGACAAACACCGCTGACTTTCAAAACTGCCAAGCTACCAACACATTTTTCTTCAAAATCACAGAGCTGGAAGACCAACCGGTTCCACTGTCAGGCTGATGCTTATTCTACATTTAGGTTTGTAAGAAACACATGCGTGTAAACATTTAGTCTTTTAAGATAAATTTGCCTGTAAGAAACTCAAAGATTTTCATTGGGAGCAGCATGCTATTGTCACGATTCTTCGTTCCTACACTACTAAAGCAACTCTTTGCTATTAGCCAGCCTTCTCCAGCTTGGTGCTCCCCAGATATCTGAACAAACTCCCTTTATCCCAGAGATCATCACAGCGCAATGATCAGACGTGGAAGCCATCTTTTACATTTGGGCCTTCAGGCCTGCCCCATTTTCTACTAGGATTATATTGAGTATGGGAGGGATCTAGTCAAAACAACATTCTTTTCTCAGAGAGTCAAGGCCACCTTGCCCTTCAGCTGCGATGAGGTGACTGGGAGGCATCTCCAGTTTTAGATGGTGCCTGATTGGACCACGTGATGGGCATGTGGGCGCTGGGCAGGGACTTGAACTTTCCTTTGGGTGGGGAAAACCTGGAAGCTGTCAGATTCGGGTTTGCCCAGATGTGCCAATATGACATATATTAATAAAATGCAACTTTGAGCAAACTCAAACCTGGGAGTCTTCTTTTGTTGGGGGGGGGGTCGTACTTGGAACCCTGACAACAACCTATACAGAAGGCTTCAAATTGCAAATCAATTGTTTTACCTAGGCACAAATCATACTGACTGCTAACTGGTTTACGTAGCGCCTTCGGTCCTAAACAAGAGTTTACAAACCTTACATTAAAATGCAAAGCCAAAATCAAGCAAATTTGGGCTCATGAGATATGTCAGTTCGCTTTGTCAAATGCTTCGGAAAAGCACGGTATCTTCATTTACTGAACAATCCAAGTGAGACACAACCTAAATAGAAAGCTTACTAAGGGAAAATCATTTCCCCGGCTTAGCAAGCTTAACTGCTATAAAAGGATGACACCCTTTCCTGTTTTTCTTCGGGGGTGGGGAGGCAGGAAACAATCGACAATAATATCAGAGAGAAAAACAAAATGGATTTTTACAGGATAGCAGCAGGAACTGAACAGAAACAGCTAAATATCTATGTGGAACCTTTATGAGCTGCACAGATTCCCATTCTAAAAAAAGCTTTTAAAAAAGGGTTTAAACATTTAAAAAATAGCATTTTAGGAGGAAATGTTTCTGTAGCATGTCACACTCTGATAGGTTGATGGGTTGCCCTAATGGGCATGAGAAGATGTAAGTCTTAAGTTAAAGCACCTTTTTTTCCTGCTGTGCCAAAACCAGACACACTGACATACAGATATTAAAAAGCTTCACACTTGATTACAACTGGATGAAGCCGCAGCACTTTACAGCTGAAAAGGCGGATGTACTACACAATGGTTATTGGCTAGTGCTGGAACTACAATATAGCATCGTCTGGAGATATTGTTATGTATCAGGAATAGGAGGAGGAGGAGGAATCCAGAGCCTTCTCTGTGGCTGCTCCGACCCTCTGGAACGAGCTCCCCGTGGAGATTCGAACCCTCACCACCCTCCAGGCCTTCCGCAAAGCCCTTAAAACCTGGCTGTTCCGACAGGCCTGGGGCTAAAGAGCTTTTGCCCCCCTCCTCGAATGGTATGGTTGTTGTGTGTTTTTAAATTGTGTATTGTTATGTTCGTCTTTTATCCCCTGTCTGTACCCCCTTCCCTGATTGAATTGTGAGCCGCCCTGAGTCCCCTTCGGGGAAAAGGGCAGAATATAAATGTAATAAATCCAATCCAATCCAATAACTGAAAACCCACCAAGACTGAGGGAGGGATCTGCTAAGTCAGAGGTTGGGAACGATGGTCCCTTTATGACTTGTGGACTTCCAGCCCCAGAATTCCTGAGCCAGCATGGCTAGTAGAGGAGCCTGGACTTTCTGGAGACTATCAGTGAGGACAGCCTTATAAAAATGTTAAAATCCAAGAAGCCCAGGAAAGTTTTCTTTCTCCCTGCTCTTCTTACAGGTAGCCTTCAACTTACAAGAGTTCATCTAGTGACCATTCAAAGTTACAACGGCACTGAAAAAAACAACTGACCATTTTTCACACTTATGACCACTGCAGCATCCCTGTGGTCACGTGATCGAAATTGGATGCTTTGCAACTGGTTCATATTTATGACGGCTGCAGCGTCCCAGGATCATGTGATCACCTTTTGCGACCTTCTAACAAGCAAAGTCAATGGGGAAGCCAGATTCTTTTCACAACCGTGTTACCAACTTAACAACTGCAGTGATTCACTTACTGTGGCCAGAAAAGTCTTAAAATTGGGCAAAACCCACTTAACTAATGTTTCACTTAGTAACATACATTCTGGGCTCAATTGTGGCCATAAGCCGAGGGCTACCTGCATTTACCCTTTTATAAATATGAGGCTAAAAAAATTCCATTTGCAATTGATGGGTGTAAAATTGTGTATATAAAGTTTTGTAAATAAGAGTTAACTCAGAGGAAGACTTGTGGACCACAACTCCTATGCTGGCTGGGGAATTCTGGGAATTGAAGTCCACAAGTCTTAAAGTTGCCAAGGCTGGACACCCCTGGGGTTAAATAAAAGAGTTTGGGATTTGGATGTTAAGTAACTTATTCTATAATCTACAAAGCTAAATGTTCAGACCAATTAATCCGGGGCAGAGAATTACAGCCTTTAAGTACAGGGTAAATTTGAAAAAAAAGATCTGTAAAAAAAGGAATTACACTCCCACAACAGGAAGAGTTCAAATGTTGCCATCCTTGTGAGGGAAACGAAGAGTGATTGCAACTGAAATATTCAACTATATTGTGCATCCTAAAGATGTTGTCATAGACTGTAGCGGTGATAACTATTTTTTTAAAGACTAACGATTAATTAAAACATGTATCAACCTGCGTTTACCTGGCTCTTGATTCCTTGTTGGGTGATGAATGTTTTCAGGGCTCCGGTTTCAGAGTTCTGAGGGTAACCAAAGTCCAGGATTTCTACAGAAAAGTAAACAATGGTTGGAGAAAACCAACCGGAAGGCTAGTTTTTCTGTCAACTGACTCCCTTTGTGCTCAAGGAAAGTTTCCCCGCACTGCATGTTGTCATACCGATTCCCGTAAGAAGAGATCAGGCTTGGCCTGCAGTTGGCAACAGTTAGAACAAAATGACAAACTTGGCAAAGACAACAGAACCAGAACATCGGAGGAAACCCGCTCTGAAGCCAGATAATTCAACAGCAGCAGAATAATCTATCTTTGCAGCATTTTCTTTAGATTTTGATTTTCACATTAGCATGGCATAAAAATCAAAACCTAAAAAAACAACAGCAGAGTAGCAGATGTTGTAGCGTACATAGACAAGTTCAGCTCTGGAAAGAGAGAAGTGCCATTAACTGTCTCCATCCAAGAGGAGATAGGCAAGGCTCTCAAGATCCAGACCTGCAACACGAAACAACTGGAAACGAAAACGTGCTTTTGCTACAGTTTTAGTCAATTTGCAAATCCATCGTCATCCTGCTTCCTCTCCTGCCCGTAACCTGAAGGCAGTTTTTCAATCCCAACTTACCCAGGGGATCATTCTTGGAAAGCCACAATCTGTTGATAACATGGTTGGGGGGAAAAAGTTCAGTGACACTAAAGAACAGCATCCTTTGGCTCATAAAAAGCAAGCATTAAGAAGTAAAGCAGTTGTTTGTATTACAGATTAAGGTCAAGACACAGATGTCTCCCAGATGTTCCTGAAACTGTATCCCAGCAGTTCTAATCAGCATAGGGGGACGCCAGTTCTAGATTAACATCTGGTGAGTCACACATTCCTCTTTCATGATATAGAATCACGTGATCAAAATTCCAACGCTGGGCCATATTTAGGATGGTTGAAGTGGCCCAGTGTCATGAGATCAACTTTTGCGATCGTCTGACAAGAAAAGTCAAGGCTGAAGCCAGATCCACTTAACAACCATGTTACTAACTTAAACTGAAACCATTCACTTAACAATTGTAGGAAGGTCGTAAAATGGGGCAAAGTTCACTTAACAAATGTCTCACTTAGCAACACATATTTTGGGCTCAATTGTGCTTATAAGTCAAGGACTACTTGTATCTGCACAGCATGCTAACCTGCCATTTGAGCACGTAACTGTGGGTGTAACATTAGAGGTACTTGTATTGCACTTGCTTTCATGGAGAATCACTCACCTTTTCACCTTTTAACTTTCAGCCTGCTATTTAGTTCTATAGAAAGTGATTTACAGAACACTGACATTTTTAAACGAGAGGTAGCTTCCCCTATATCATCATGTTCATTTTGCACGGGTCAATCCTCTTATCTCAACTATGTCCAGAATTCATTAGTGTACATTGCAGAAGTAAAACATTTACAGAGAAGAAATAATTCTTCCGTTGGGGTACATTTGGTTCTTTCTTTGCCCTTGCCATTATTCAAAAACCAAATGCAAACCAAAACGCATGAAGCCCAGCATCCACACAGTGAGCACAGTTTAAATTTATTCGCCCAGAATCAATTTTATGTACTGTATACAATAAAAGCCTTCCTACGTTTGCAGCACCAGAATTGAAGGACATGCCTTCCCAGGAGAGAGACTGAGCCTCTTATCCTTACCATCCAGAAGCTCGTAGATGAGCACAAAGTTGTTCTTGATGTTCTCTTCACTGATCTTTCCAAAATAGGCAGTCATCACATCACACATTTTGTAGAGGAACTCAAAGACCATCGCAGCGTTAACATTTTGCTTGGTGACGGCAGCCAGCCAGATATTGGAACGTTTGACATGGAAGAAACTGGTGCGAGCGATGTTGGTGACCGGTGAACGCACTTGTTGTCGTGCATGGATGACATTGACTCGGAAAGCGTCCACTGCATTCCGCCTGGAGAATTAGAACAGGGTAGGGAGACATGAGTGAGATGACCAAAGCACAGAGAATAACAAATTATATAAAAATAATAATTAAGTAAAAAAAATGAAATTTGAATTTGCAAATAAATCAGGAGTGGCTGGAATATAAATTACAAAAAAGAAGAACATAATATTGAATTTACAAGAGGGAGACATTATATGGCTGGACAATGCGGCCACACAAAAAAGCATTATATCAATATTATTCCAACTTGTATAAAGAAAATCACAACTCTCTATAGAGACAATAGATAAGTATCCAAAGAAGCTCAATTGACTGAGGATCATAGAGAGCAGAGACAGATTATGAACAGATTTATAACAATATGGGAAGTTTCTGAAGCTATAAAAATATTAAACTAGGAGAGCTGCTTAGACCAGGTGCATTAATACATCCTTATAATAAATGTTTTGAGGACAAACTTTTACCACCTTTACAAAACACAATGAACTCTATCCTACAAGGAGGAAAGATGCCAGATAATTGGAAAGAGGCTGATATGACAATATTCCTAAAGAGAAACAAGAGACTATAGGCTGATGTCATTATTGGATAAAGACTATGAATTGTTCACCATTCTAGTTGGTACACTGAAAAAGGACGTTGGTAATTACCTGATACGCCTCTTCTCATAGTGGGGGAGGAGTATCCAGGATGGGTTGACCTTATCCTCTCGTTGATTGGACTGAGTCAGATAAGCTCTTGGGATACGCCCCTGGTCCACCAGGCACCACCCAGTTATCGACTCAGTCCCTCAACTGGGTGATTTGCCATCCTGGATCTCGGATAATTTGGAAGAAATTTAAAGAAAGAAAAAGGATTAATTTGTCTCTCTACAGCAGCAGCCGCATGCGAGCTGGACAGCTCTCTGAGTTGCAAAAAGGACTGCCAAAAGCCCCCTTGGGGGCAACACGCTGCCCAGGCCTCTGAGTGAGAGAAGTATCACTCAGAAAAGGAAATCTGCCGGGCAAGCAGGAGACAAAGGGCACAAGCCTTCCAAAGGCAAGCCTTG